TGACGGTTTTGCTCTATCCGTCGCTGTTTCGCGGAATCGCACGTAGCGGAGAGCGATCCGGGTTCGTTGTTACCTGCCCGGCGAGGCAGTCGTGCTGCTCTCGAGAAAACAGGTGGAGAAGCAGGTACGCGAGCGGAGAGCCTCTGATAGACTACGCAGTGGATCGCGAATGAACGGCATGTCATTCCTCGGGATACGAAGGGCGAGGCGGAAACCGTTGAGGAATTTCGGTGCACGAGGTAGCTCGAAACGAGCGGTGTACACATAAAAACCGGCAGACATTCACCTGTTTCATTAGACACGTACAACTACCGCACGTATCGTTTTTAATTTTGCTTATCCGATAATCTCGGAAGATCAAACTCGGAAGATTAGTCGGATGGTTTCAAAACTTTTAGACGTTTTTTTAAGTTTCATTAATTATATTATATGATTCCCCCAAAGTTGAAATCGTAGAATCTCCTCGACGAAAATGTTGCGAAATTATTAATTTCTTACGCTTTAGAGTCGAAAATAAATAAGAATTATTCTCGTACTCTCTACGTATAAAAATATTTAAAATAAAATCGAGAAAATTGCATGTGTGTTCGCAAGATATCACATTATCGTCGATTCTTGTAATTTCTTCTATAATTTAATCTCTATTCAAGTTTTTTCGTACTACTAATTGCAGTGGACAGTGATGGAGAATTTAATTAACTGCATTAGCGTCAATTGACATTAGTAGAGCCAGTTCTAGCTTTATTAGAGAAGAAGATCGCGAATCCGTTCTCGTCTCTCGAACAATGCGGCTGCTTCGGGAGATGAGAAAGTACGAGCGAGGAGGAGAGCGCCGGCCAGGATCGGGCAAAGGTAAAGAGAGAACGCAAAGAAGAATTGTGGGAAAGGAGAGAAAATTGCAAAACGACATACCGTGCGACCGCACACGCCGAGAGAATAATTCCATGGTGCGGCTTAAAGCCGCGCGCAATTTGGCCTCACGCCAACGTTTAAAATGTGTTACAACACAAATATCCTGGCGGGAGTAGTTCGTGTTATTTTTTTCGTTTAACAAAAAAAAAGACACAAAACGCAAAATTTACGCAACTAATTATAATTGTACGTATATAGAATAAATTGTAACTATAAGAGAAAGGTAGGTAGGTTCTTTATCTAAATTCTCAGGAACAAAAATTCTTGCAAGACTGTTCTTTATTGCTTTCCGACTAAAGTTGTATTTACTTGAAATTTGCATTCATCTATTATATTTTTATTGATTTGTATATTAAGGTAAACTAGAGTATTATGGCCATAGGCCATAATTTCTCCAATAATTGATAAATAGTGCATTTTTATAGTCATTCTTAAAGATAATCAATATTTACAGTAGTTCATATGAGTACAATGTGTTCAAAATAACAATATTATAAATATTATCTGATATTTTTTCTTTCGGCTATCTGCAAAGTTTTGCACGTGTCTGCAAAACTGTTATAATGTCTAATAAATTACAGTTAAGCTGCCATAATCAACATTACATACGCAATAAAAGTACGTAAATTGCAAAGTGACCTATAATTAATACTTTTATTTTCACTAATACTTTTATTTATAAATACTATGGCTATTTTTCTTAATAGCATGGCCATCTTTTCCCTAAAAATCAGATAACGTGGCTAATGCATACTTTGTAATATTTTGATAAAATTAAAGTTCTGTTAAGTATTTTCTCTTTAATTTCGATAGTACTTGTTACTTAATTTAAGCTTCAGTGAAAGTAATATCCCAAATATTGTTAAAAAGTGACAAGAATAAATGTATGTTTTTTTGCATTTTAAAAAACTATGGCCATCATACCCAAGTTTACCCTATATTAAATATTATATTCCCTCAAAATCGTTTGGAAGCCAGCGCAAAATGTTGCTCGTAATTGTCGGCTTTACGCACGATTCTTGTTCGTTTCGTGCGTACACGCGATCCTGCTTGCAAAGTGTGTTAATATGTGATTTACACGAGAGGATGGAATTATCGTCGCCGTCGATACCATCAGCCAAGAGACGTGGAAACGAGTCGTTGCGGTTAACACGTGAATACGATGCCACACGCTGCCACTTTGCGGGGAAAATCTCAGGGGTTTGACGTTCTCCGCAGAGTGGAGCCTCCAGAACTCCAGAGTGGAGGAAGCAAGCAAGCCAGAACGTGTGCGGGTATTAAAGCCGAAACGCGCGCGTCTCATATTCCTGAATGGAGAACTAAAAAAGCTGATCCCACAAATCGGATCGCGACTGAACAGGACACCAGTGTTTCTTCCTCCTCCTCCTCGCAGGATACCTTCGCGGACTGATCGACAAGCTTAGGACAAAATATCGTGTTACAGTACCACACATTTACGAGGGATCATCTTTATGAACGTGAGAATGTCAATTTGCGAACGCCACGTATTTAAAAATTCGAAACTGACAGATTTCCAGAGACGTCAGCATTGTCAACGTTTGGTGTAATAAATTTATTTTTCATTAATTTCTACTTATTTTATTTCAGCTGTATTTTTTTGTCTTATTTATGTTTATAATATTTTATGTATATCGTATAATGATGCTCTTTTATGTTTTGAATAAATAAATTTTATTAACGTAGACATGCTAGAATGAAAAAGTGTGACTAGATTAATATTTTTATTCTACAAACTTTGTGTTAAATTTTTTTTTAAACGCATGTTTTAAATATTAAACTGCAATTAAAATATTTAATGTATGTTTAAAATATAGCATGACGTTTAAAACATTTATTTAAATTACAACAATTACGCAGAGAGGACGAATGGAAAACAGAAGCTCTATATGTGAAGGAAGAATAAATATTTGTATCCAAGGAGAAAAAGAGCCCTCGAATGTCCTCGGGAATGCATTCCTGCCGTTGGTACAACACACCTGCCGCGGATCTGCAGATTGTACCTTATCGCGATTAAACACGCGTGCATCATTGTCGGTACTGGCGAGTGTAACGGCCAAACGAATTTCAAAGAGTTTCATATTTAAATTCGATTCTCGTTGCTATTTTCTAACTTAATTTTAATGTTCACCAGCTATGCCAGCGGATTGTCCTCCTGTAAAGGACAAATCCGTAAACCCGTCTCGACACGAATCTTAATAAACATGCGACCTTGAATACCAGAACCTTCGTGTTATATTCTCGTCATCGGGGCTCGATTCCCTGACAATGCATCCGTCTGACTTGTTAGGATCGATGCAACAGGAATTCGTCGATGGAATGTCGTGAAACGTGATCAAAAGCCATTTTCGCTTCCGAACTGACTTTACGATATACACGTAACATCTTCAGAATGTAGCGCGTTGCAAGATAAATGAACGGCCTGTTAGTCTAATAACGATAATAACGATAATGGAGGGAGATAGACCACGTGGTGGAGACACGCGCGTGTTTGTTCGATCGGAAAAAAAATAGGTCGTGTAAGCAACGTTAGGCGGGGATACGAAACGACCGAAACGACGTGAACTTTTACGGCGATGACGTAAGGCACAGACTAATCTCGTTCGTGACCTCATTATTACGTTCCTTTTTTTCTTCTTCTTTCTTTATTTCGTGAATTACGTAGGGCTGACAGCACGCTATCTTATTAAACTTGGTCGGCTGAAAGTAGTTGTAGATCGCGATGTCGCGACTTTTCTGCCATGGCACGAGATAGTAAAGTTCTACAATCGAAAGTCTAGTTGATTTTTTAAATGACATATAAATTTGCGACATTCCGGCAATAATTCCTGCTTATTTTCCTGTTATTCTAAATAATGTCTGCGCCAAGGAAAGACTTTCAATAGCAGCTATTGCACCGTTTCTAAATTATCGAATCTTATCGATGTAAAATGTACCGTCGAATTTATATCAGTACGCTACGTGAGTATATCGACCATCAGATTTTTCACAGCTTGGCGATCTTTCACCAGAAATAGAATGCTTTTAATATATTATGACGTTCTAAACTGGGCCATTGATTTGATCGTGAAAATCAATTACTATTGATCAAAAGAATAACTGTATCTACACCGAATTTTGCCTCCGAATGAAATGAAGATTAACACGATCAGTGTCAATATTGAAAAAGTAGGCGAGACGCATCTATTTCAATACTGTACTTTTAAACGAACACATTTAATATGTGATAAGTTATAACAGTATAATAATAAAAAAAAAAGATTAATGAGAGTTATTCCACAGTTTCTTATTAGTGTATATTAAACTTTATAAGAATAAAACGATTTTTTATTCTTCATTTGATTATAAATCGAATGAGAATTGAAAATTGAGAGGCCGCAATCGAACGATACGATTTCGACGCGAACGTCGCGTCGCGCTTTTCATTATTCGAGCGTACGCACTAACGGAACATCCATTAATAAATTTCTCAATAAGAATTGATTGACGCACAAAAAGCGGCTCCCCTGTCCGCGCACAAAAGGCCAGAAAAGACGCAATGATACGCGAGACTCTGTCACGTGTGTGTTCGCGCGCTAACGGAACGTTTTTGCGTTCTCTCACGTTCATGGAACGGCCGGGAGACGTTTGTGACATTTCAGCCTGACGAATGCGGAAAGATGCGTGACAGATCATCCAGTAAAGGAAAAAGAAAAGAGAAAAAGAAAAGGGAAAAAATGTAGACCTAGACCGGAATTCATGTTCGTGCATTTATACGGTACAGAAGTCTGGACTCACGAAATTATACCGGTTTCGGTATGCCGAGATGAGGAGCTCGAGTCTCGAGACACGCTGCGAGCTGCGAGCTGCGAGACGAAGAGCGGAGCGAGCGAAACGGAGAAAGAGAAAGAGCGAGAGATTTCCGCGCGTCTATTCGCGGTAATTTGGCGAAAGGAATCGAAAACGTGCGCTGTCTCGGGAAAGAGATAGTAGCTTCAAACAGATAGAGGTGAAGGAGGAAGAAAGAGAGGAGCAGCGAAAGGGCTCGGAGCCGTCCCTGGTAAGCGAAACCAGGCGGGCAGCTAACTCACCTCGTGCCATATTCCAACAGGCTATACTGTCGTTTTCGACGACGACGACGACGACGACGAAGAAGAAAGAAGGCGAGATCACACCTTCGTGAAATCCTTCGTGAAAAGATAGAAAAATCCTTATCCGACTTCTCTTTGCGACAGAGCTTCTCTTCTCGCTTTCTTTTCTTTTCGCGGCTATCCGCAGGCAGCACTCGCGCACACGTCTCTTTTCAAATTTTCAAACTCACATCTCACACACACACACACACATATGCGCGCGCAAACGTAAAACGCACTCGGTGGACTCGAGAGATGCGCGCGCGGGAGATACGCACGCACGTGAGAAGAGGATAGGCCTGAACCAACAACCAGCCAAGCAAGCAACCAACCGACCGACTAACCAGCCAGAGCCAGCCAGCCAGCCAACGGGGCTGCCCGCAATGCCCGCAATGCCCGCATACCGAGCGCACGCCGCAGCCGCACACACGCGCAGACTCAACAACGGGTTTCTCACGGGGCGAAACGTCAACCGACTCCGACACTCGCCTGACTCGCCACTCGGTTCGCGAGAGCGGCGCAGAGCGGCAGCTGCTGGTTCCCGGCGCCGCGCCAGCGTCACGTCACGCTCTACGTTCACACGCGAACCGAACCGAACCGAACCGGCCGAACGACCAGTACGTACTGGCTCAACTCGACTGACTGAACCGACTCGACCGACTCGCTGACGACGCTGACTCTGACCGCCCCGTCCTCGTCGCGTTTACGACCGTTCCGCGATGGCAGGGACCCACCTTCGTACCGAAGGAACTCTCGACTCGATTGACGCTTTATTATCTTTCTTTTATTAGGCCCGGTTCCACAAATATATAAGATTAAACTTATAATTTATCTTTTTACAATGCCCGTTTCTACTCCACTATAGCTGAATTTTAATTATTCAATAAACACTAACGTATTTTAGTTTTTTATTTAATCTTGGTTCAACCTTTAACTCTTCATCTTTTTCTAAGACTTATGCCCGTTTCTACCAATGCAGTTTAACTTTAATCTCGGTTCAACTAATTCTTCATCTTTTTCTAGTTTTAAGAATAAGAAAAAGGTGAAGAGTAAGTTGAACCGAGATTAAAGTTAATCCACATTGGTAGAAACGGGGATTAGAAAAAGATAAATTGTAAGTTAAACCGAGATTAATTAAAGTTCATCTACATTATGAAAATAGGCACGAGTCTCATAAATCGTACTCAGGATCAAGTAAAATCAAAACTTATTTTTTTAAATCGAGCCTTTTTTTAAATCGATGATCGCTTTGCGACAGGATGTCGATAGCATTTCGTCAATGAATATGAATCAACCGTAACTTTATTTTGTAATATAATCGCTTTTTTTTACAGCAGAATGTCTTGTTTTTCAGTGAAGTATAATGAATACACGTAAACGATAATATAATGCGCATGGGTATTTATCGTAATCGTACATCAATCAAAAATATTAAAATTATATATATATATATATATATATATATAACTGTTTTTTTTTCTTCTGAAGAAGATAATTTACAACATACATCTTTTTTTCTTTTTACCTTATATCTTAGAGCTAACCGACGATTGGGTGCTTCCTTTCGAGTTCACATGTTTTACATGTGGGCGTAATAGCATTGCCATGGATCTTTTATCACGCATATTCCTCTATAAACAAGTTGTATGCCGTATGCTTCTCAATTGTCACGCTACAAATTTCTAATTTGTATTACAAGACATATAACGCTTAATCATAATAGTTTTTATCCTACGATCAAGTTAAACCAACAAAGATACAGTGCACATCGGTATGCAAGTTAAAGAAAGCCGTTGTGTTGCTTATTTATGCTCGGTATCTATAAAACTTACATGAAAACCGTATTATAGAACGGATCGTGTCAAACCGTGCTCTTCGAATATAACGCGGATCCTGCCAATACTCCAATATATATCTCATTTACGTACAACATATGTATATGTATATATATGTATACGCGTGTTTTATATATATACACATATATATGTATATATGTATATATATACGTGTTATATATATATATATGTATATATATACATACATACATACGTGTTTTATATATTTATATATATATACATACATGTGTATAAAATAATTACGAAATCCGTGCACCAAAAAGCATTCATTCCCAATGGATTTCAACGTTCGGTCGTTCCTTTATTGAGAACGTACAAATAACATACCTTGCTACAAGATTACAAGTATCAGGATATCTGAAAGCAAAAGGGATGATTGACTGTACTGTGAATACACTCTCGATCGATCGATGAAGCCGAGAAAGCGAGTTTGTTAAATAGCGGCAATCTATATTTTCCATGCGGGTTCCGTTCATGCTCCTAAGAAACGTCGTAAAGATATTACGCGTAATGAACTGTGTTATGAATATCATCGTATTACAGTCTACTTAATTAATAATTAGCTCGATATTTTAACAAAATTTACACGGAAAAATGACATCGACGGAGCTACAGTCGATTTCCTGTGTTCAAAGATTTTATAGTTTAGATTTTTCTTCAACTGTCTTTCCTCTCTTATTCTGATTATTTGAATTTCTGCTCTTCAAAGGATCAGGATATACAATGCATTTATTCATATGTACTTATGTATTCACTGTTCTCGCCCTCGTCAAAATTGAGACACTATAGATACGTTATAGTTTAAATCAAAACAAAAGACACATGTATTTTATAATACAAGTGCTTCTATGCGTACAAAAGGGATGAAACGAATCGATTTTTATGTTTTAAACATATTTCGTTGGAACGATAATGAATGTCGATTCTATTCTAAATGTTTCGCCAAGTGTGTAAGAGCACTCATAAAAAAATACATGTCTTTTATTTTTATCTTTACCACAAAACATATCTAAAACTCATCAAGATTGGGAAGGCAGAGGGAGAATACTTGCAAGTGTTAATTTCTTCGTTAATCATATATTTGGTGATTTATTTTATTTTTATTATTATATGAATATTCTTCCACATTTAAAATTTTTTATATACAAGATGCCAAAATGAGGTGTCAAATTCGGATCTTTCGTTTGACAGATTTGCTGTCCTATTAAATTATTTAGCATTGCTTGTTTCTGTACAGTCATGAAAATAATTCTTGAGACAGTGCACCATTACGTTATTGACAATTTATATTTGGATAACTAATTGTGAAACTATCAGAGTCTTAAACACACACACACACACGCGCGCGTGGAATTACAATTTTAATACTAAAAATTAAAAAAAATATTGATATAATAATGTCTCCGGAAAATTAGTTTCGTGACTATAATATTCTCCATTACTTACAAATTACTATATGATGCGATTACATGCTCACAGGTTATGAGAAAGCCGAAACACGTAACATTTTCGTCCTATGCGCGGGTAGAATTAAAGCCTCGTCTACAATAGTCGCACAAGCTGTGTCGCATGTCGTATGAAATGTCGCAGAAATGTCGCATATAGTCGCATGATTGTCGTAGTCGCAAGAGCTCTTGTCGTGCGGAGTTGAGCCAACTTCAATTTTCTGCGACTGCGACGTGCATGTCGCATGAGCTCAGCCAATCACAGCACAGCAAGTTGACGTTTAGAATTTGTCATCGAATCACGTGCAAACAATCGTTGTGACTATTGTAGACGCTCATTTAGCGATACTCTTGCGGCATGCGACAAATTTTCCTACGATGCTACTACTCACGACATCCGACACAACCTGTGCGACTATTGTAGACGAGGCTTTAGACTAAAGAATAGAGGAAAAACAGTCGATTCCAATGACCTGAGAGCATAGGAAATTGATCGTACATAGAGCACATTGAAGAGGATACACGGACGAAGAACCAAGAAGAGAGATTCAAAAAGGTGAACAACTGATCGCGAAACGAGTAGTAATGATCATACCATTGATATTTTTCTATCTATCGTCTAAAACACAGACAAATCTGAATCTAAATAAGAAAAACTGCAAATTGAACGAGTGAGTAGCGTGTATTCTGTCAAGACTGAGAAAAAAGGGGCAGAGGAAAGAGGGAGGATATAAGTTTATAATTTTTGACAGCCAGTTACCTCAAATATCTCTTACGTACATTAACGTAAGAGGTAAATAAGGATAAAATTAAAGGTAATATTGGAATAACAGTATTGCGGATTGGTGGTTAGCTCATAGACACTTGTCCATTGGAGAGTAGTCTCTCAACGGCAGCGTTTATATCTCCGAACGTTGCAATTAACGCTGAAAAATAAAAAAGGGATATTACATATCTTAAGCAGTAATTAAATGCAAAATATTAGAATAATATATATTCTTGTGTTTTAAAAAATATTAAATATTCATAATATCAGACATTATTTAATTTTAACATTAAAACATGACGCGACTGTTTGTGATCGAATAATATCATATCAGAGATATAATGTATATTGATAAAGTTGTTCATTTTTTTATATAGTTCTTAAATAAAAGCAAGCAAAACAAAAAAATTAGACAGAAAAGAAAAACTGCGTTGTCAGGATGACTCTTACCTTGTAAATTAGCATCTCTATTAAGAAAACCCATAGCCGTAAGTTGTTCTAACTGTGCTCTGTAACGTTCCTCTGGTGGAGGTACAGGTTGACCGTCAACTTCTACACCTTGATTTAATGCCATTGCAGAAACCTAATACACATAAATGAAATATGATTTGGCGTACACAAGTATACTATACAAATATGTCATACTTATACAAGATTAAGAACGTTATATAATATAACGTTATATATATATCAAATAGATATGAAGAATGACTCTTATTATACCAAAATGCTACAATTATACATATTTTTTAAATGCTCATTATTAAAGACTGTATTGTTTTGAAAGATTGTTATATATTTGTTAAACATTTAAATTAATTAAATTATTTTAAAAAGGAGAGAGGGTACTCTACTCCAAAATCGTTTCTCGAGAAGAAAATTGAATTGTTTTAGAAATTAAGTCATTGTTCTTACCATACGTGCCATGAACTGGGAAAATGCGTCTTGCTGATTGCTGTCCGATGATTGGGTAGTTGGTACACTGGAATTGGTGCCGGTCGTGTTCGGTGTTGTGGGTGTAGGTGGGACCGTAAGGCCCATACTAAAACACACACGTTTGCACTTATATAATCATGCGCTATTAAAATATTAATTTTTAAAGCAAATGATATAGCGAATATAAACTTAAACTTACTTTCTATATAAAGAAACTTACTTTTCCACGAGTTCAGGAGCGACGGTGCGCAATTGTTCCATACCCCGCTGAATCTGCATAATGGCAGCTAGAGCGTCAGGGTTGGTGACGACGTTCTGTATCTGCGGGTTTTGCATTTGTTGTATGAAGGCGGGCATCATTGCACGCATTTGCTCTTGCATCTGCGGATTACCACGGAGAAACGGATTTGCTGCAATTACCCGACTAGCCATTGCTGGATCAGCCGCCATTGCTTCCAATATGGATCTCGTATATGGAGCGTTTAGCATGTTTCGCATTAACTGTGGATTCTCTATCATTTGTGCCGTGAGACTCTGCATACCTGGTGAATCTAGCAGACCTCTGCTTTGATTCTGTTGTACCGTACCAGTGTCATTCTGGCTTTGATTCCATGGGTTCGGCAGCGGATCCCGATTTTCCTGACCCTGTTGTGGATTTTGCAAGTCCTGATTGGAACTGTTTTCCACTAGAGCGGCGAAAGGATTACGACCATTCGTTGCGGCTGCTAACATTGGCTCCTGGATATCACGATACATACGACGTAGAGCACTATAACCCCCAGGTATGCTTTCTAGATTAGACAAAGCTCGATCGTGCGAACGCATCAGTTCTTGCAGCATTGACGGGTTACGTGCCAATTCCATCGTTTGTCTGAAAATCAATTTTCATAAATAACATTGTGCAATATTGCACAATTGACAAATATCTAGTTTCCAAATTGTAGTTTAAAATATTGACTCAGCAATTAACTTAAAGACACAAATAAAAAACATTTCAAAATTAAGAAATATACAGCCCTGAAAAAAGTCAATTGTAATTTGTTTTCAATTCAATAGAGAAGTACAAAAAGAAATTTGATTAGAAATAAATCTTTGATTTGAAATTTAATCTTTAAATACTGCACAATATATGTGATTCATAAATCAAGCTCGAGAAAAGGTTAAGAAAGAAATTTTATAGTTTAACTATTGTATGCAAATTAGCTTTTAAGTAAATTCCAATTTATTAGTTTAAGGTTACCTACCGTAAAAGTTCAGGGTTATTCAACATGTGACTGATTTCTGGGTTACGTTGCATCAATTCTTGCATTTGGGGATTGGCAGTAACCAAATTGCGCATGTTCTCCGGATCATTCATCAAACTCTGAACCAATGGATTATCGAGCACTTGTCGCATTGTTTCTGGATTCGAGAGCAATTCCCGTTGCATACGTTGCTGTAAGTCTATGAAATTAGCTGAGCCTAAGCCAAGGGACTCTAATCCCATCAATCCACCTAAGCTCCCCAAACCAAATGGACTGGCACTAACATCAGCTGTAATTTATACACAATTGTCAATGCAAATATTATTATACACTTCTTCGTGCAATATAAATATTTATGTTCGCAAATTTAAAACTGAAATATTCTTATTAAATAATCCTTCTTAATTGTAGGTATTAATCAAATTATATTGTAATTCTAAATACAAAAGATCTAATATAAAATTTATTGTTAGGGAAAATTTTTTAAGTTATAAATTAAATTTGTAAATTATTTTTGCATATTTTTTGGAAATTTTTTTTAGATACATTGTAAAGTATTCACATGTCATCTGCAGCTCACAAAAATTCCATTTTTTTATTCTGGTAGTCATCTATGTGCAGAAGTATATTAATAATAAGAATTAACAATAAGAATTAAAGAACACAGAATACTCCATGACCCGTATACATGTTAAATGTTCCATAATATCGCGGCTTAATTTTATCGCTGTATTCGATTAAATTCAAGTTGTGCTTGATAGAATACCTTGTGGTCTCGAGGCCGAGTTGGACTCCTGATTCTGCGTAGTTGCGGTGCGTGGAGCCTTAATCACCAGATGCACCGCCAGGCCGTCCTTGATGTTGTGAGTACTGAGGGTCTCATGATCCTTCATGATCTTGCCGGCGAAGATGAGGCACAGCTGATCGGCCTGTGCGTTAAACTTCTTGGAGACTGCCTCCTTAAACTGCCGGCGTGTCCGACGAAGAGGGGGGAAGGGGGGGGAGAGAAAAGAAAGAAACAAACACAAGATTAGAGATGCCGAACTAACCAAATCGGTTTGACAGCTGATGCTTGGCGTAATGCCAAGGGGGCGGCGATTAGGCCGCGAATGGCAAAGAGAAGGAGACGAGGCTCGTTGTCGCCATCGTTATCCCGCACTTACTTCTTTTATCGTCGCATTCTCCTCGATCTCGACGGTCTGCTTTTCCTTCGGGGTTTTCACGTTGATGGTGATCTTTTTCGGACCACCCTCCTGCTGGCCTTCTGCCATCTTGGATCGGTAGATGACTCGTTACTTTCGACGCTCGCGCGATACTCGGTACGCGGTACGTGGTACGCTCGCTCGCGCTCGATCTATCCGTCTCTCTTTGTCCTTTCCGCTTCTCCGTCTCTCTCCCTTGATCTCACGATCGCGGAATTGCGCACCGACGACACCGCGACACGACACGACACGACGCGACGGCGACGACACTCCCTCACCCTCGCCCTCGCCACGCGATGCGATCCGCTAATTCGTTAAGTCCGTTCACCGTTGCTTGCGCCCGACGCAACGGCGAGGAACTATTGCAGAATATATAGTAGCGAAAAGCGAAACTCTCCCGATTCCGGTAATTTCTAGCTCCAGCGTGTACGAAATTCAACTGCACATGCGCGAGCTAAAGCCCATGGCACATGTATGTACACATACCTTGCATACAAAAACGTAAAGAGGGGAGCACGGACTATTGTATAAGGGGCTTCGCACAATGGCTGCGTTCAGCGGACTCAACAGTTGAGTGAGCGCTCGCTGTTATTGGTGTATTCTTTTAGATCATCCAAACCGCTGAACGCAGCCAATAAAAGGAATAGGCAACAGAAAACAGAGAATAAGAATTTCAACCTGTCAGAAACTGTGTATTCCACAATACTTAATTTCTGATAGGTTAAAATTTTTATTCTCTGTTCTCTGTTCCCTGTTCCTTTTATTGTGCTGAGCCCCTAACGCATAACACAAACTCTTGTATAAAGCATAAGAAATTCAACCAATCAGAGTTCTTTATTTCATGGAAAGGAAGGGAACAAAGAACTTTGATTGGTTCATTTTCTTATGCATTAGGCTGCTTTCACATGTAGAGTAACTTGCGTAAGCGTAACTTGCGTCAACTAATCAAATTGTATCAAATTATAACAGGGGGTCGATTCTGTATCTTCAATCAAGGAGAAAATTACAAAAGTGAGCAAATTTACTAGGTATTGACCAATGAAATTATCAGTATTCTAGTAAAATCACTCACTTTTGTAATTTTCACCTCGTTTCAAGATACAGAATCGATCCCCAGCTGCTACACCTTAAGGTGTTTTTTCAAGTCAACGACATATATACATAGAATTAAGCCGGGAGCACATAGAAAAACGTAAGTCCGTAAGACGTAACCAGTAAGGAAATCGTAACATTGGATTCGCTACTGGCCCTACGGTCTCTACTGTGATTGGTCAATTCACTTACTGCTTGCATGTTACGGCCTTACGTTCTTCTATGTGTCATGGGCTTTAGGGTACGTTCCGTTTCTCGCATGATGCGCATAATGCTTCGTTTATCCTTGTTGCTCACCAAATGTTAAACAAGGACAATGGATGCATCATGCACATCATGCGCGATACGGAACGCACCTCTAGGCTGTGGTCCATTTGACGCTACAAACGCTTCGAAGCGTTTGAGCGGGGTGATCCCGATTGATCACGGCTCGATTGAACACTACCAATCACAGCAACCTTAGGAGCTTTGTAGTCTCGAGAACTGTGAGTGACTCGTGTCCAATTAAGCCGTGTCCAACTGGATGCCACCCGTTTGAGCGACCAGTCAGAATAAAGAATTTTACGAATTGACTATTCAAAGAACGATTCGAAGCATTTGTAGCGTCAAGTAGACTGCAGCCCAAGCATTCCCATGTTTTTTAGTGGTGGGGGTTGAAGCCGGAAATTGACAGTTTATGTGGCGTTTTAGGACCCGTGCTATTTCACTCTTTCGCACTGCTCTCATCAAAATAGAAAGAGACACCATGGGTTCTAATCCGACTTCAAGCTATGTAAAGTCCTAGATTTATCAGAGAGACGCAACCGGCTTAAGTCAGTATGACAAAGATACTAAGGAGAGTACTAAATATGGCTGACATGCTATGAAACTGCCTTTAAACTATATCAAACAAGATAAGACATGTAGGATAAGTGAGATAGAATGTGTAGGATAAAATAAAATAGAAATATATCACTAGTACTATAAATGGCTGCCAAGTCACGCAATTGGTTAGATTGCAACAGCGAATCAGAATGCATAACACCGGTTGCGCCTCTCTGATAAATCTAGAGGTTTGTTCGCGTCGTATGCTCTAACGTGCTCCAATATGCTCCTATTGTAGCTTCTACTCACTTCAATGCACTCATTAGAGTGAGTAGAAACTATGGCAGGAGCATATTGAAGCATGTTGGAGCATGCGACGCGAACAAACCTTAGGGTGCCGTCCCATGACGCGTATCACTGTACGCGCGTATTCGCGTATCGAAGGATCCGACCAATCACCGACGATCCGCCGTTTTACGTACGCGTCGTTTATGCCTATACGCAACAATCAGCGGTTTATTTTTTATTAACGCTTATAGCGTTTTCGATTGGGCAAAAGTTAGTGCGCACCAGTGCGCACTCAGTTCACACCAACACTGGACGAGTTCCATGGGTTGCACTGAATAGTGCAAGTTCAAAAGAATACGCCAAGATTTTCAGTGCTAAAGCTGAAACTCATTTTTGTTCACTTTGAAGCAATGTTCAACAAAATGTTACAAAACCACAGTAAAAGATATTAATAGTGTTTTCGGCCCGGCCAGATTCGCACCAACCTGGGTTAGATTAATGGCGTTTTGTGCTCTCCTATTGGTAGAGCGGGCGACGTCAACCAATAGGAAAGATTAATCCAACCCAGGTTGGTGCAAACCCGATCGGGCCGAAAACGCTATAAGAGTAGAGACAAGACCCCGTTTTCAATTCAACTGCGCAGATTTGCTTGTCCCTATGTATATCCTTAACTGTGATAAAACGTGCACTGAACTGGCAGCGTCAAAATATCTCGTGCCACTTAGTGCGCACTGAGTGCGCACTACGCGAGTGTCGTGCGATCAAATGAACACGTGACACTAGCCAAGTGCGCATTGGCACTGCCAATCGAACACGCTCTTGACACTGAGTGCACCCCAATCGAAAACGCTATTAATATCTTGGTTCGTGGGGCAGAGCGACGCTTTTTTTTGCCAGATTTCTTCCGTTTCATACAAAAATGCGTTGAATAAACTTAATTTCATTGATTTTTGAAGTGGATTTTGAATTTTTCTATAATTACCACGAAATTATGGAAAATCAAGAAAATATGCCGTCAGCTGTAAGTATCATTAATGATTTTCTACGACTTAAGGCCCTACGATCGCTATTGTAGACCTCGACGTCGATGCACAGTAAATATGGGTCGTTCCCAAAATTGACGTTGTTTGTCTTTTCCTTTGTTTCTTATATCTTCATACAATGCATACAAAAATAAGATTTTTCTACGCAGTATTTCTTGTTTAAAAGGATTACTTTGTTTGAATTTGTTTACTAGTGTAAAAATTGCTAACAATATATAGTCTTCATTTGAATCCATTTTTTCTGTAACAAAAATAACATCTTATTTTGTACTAAATAGTACTGAATAGATTATAATTTCTTTCAATCAGGACTCTAATATACTACCGTATTTATTTGTATCTACCTTTTTGGTTAAGGAGCACTTCTACATGAAATAAGAATCGCTAACGGTCCGCCGTTTTACGTACGCGATAATTTTGCCCTTAATGTCCCATGGAGCGGTTCGTGCGTAACTTAGGACTCTAAGGGTGCCGTCACATGCGGCGTAACTTGCGTAAGCGTAACTTGCGCCGACCAATCATATCATTTCACTTGAACATCAGTTTCTGTCTAGTCACTTTATGCTTTTTACGCTATTTTGTTGTTACGCCGAAACATGATAGAACCACCATGCGTCGAATCTAATTTCTGGCTCATTTTAGCTTATTCTGTCTGAAAAAATGTATAAGAATTTCGATTTTGCAATAGTACAATCATAACAGTCGTGCGCCCCTTTGCAACGCGTGAAAAGTCGAAACCCATGTGGAACAGTACAATTATAGACCTCATTTTGCCTCTGTGACATATTTCCTATTCTCAATAGTCATCAACTTTAACGCTTAATATCTCAGATCACAAGGCAGAACGACGTTTTGTTTGCCAGATTCTTTCGTTTCATGCAAAAACGCGTCGAATAAGCCTAAAGAGTGGTCTCACAAAATTTTCCAATTTTAATAATTTATTCGATCATCCGCTCATATATACGCGATGGAAAGGTGCCGGTTCCCCATAAGGCGTACTTTTCGAGTTGCGTAGGTTACGAAAACCAATCGTAAATTCGTTTAGCATTTCTTTAGAGTGTACAACAGAAATTCTAATCAGCAATTGGTTGCATTAGTTCCGCATTTCTCTACTCTTCCACGAAATACGCCCAATGGCATGCCGGCTTTCAGAAAGGCGTATTCGAGTAAATAAAAAATAACGTATCTAGTAAATTACTAGAATACGCAGGTTACGCTTACGCAGGTTACGCCGCATGTGATGGCACCCTCAAGCTATGGACAGAATGCTTGGTCTATGTATATATTACTACCAATCACAGTCATTTCATTCTTCAGAGGAACAGCTATGATTGGCCAGTTTCATAACATCGATGTTATAACTTCGGCGTAAGGGCCATTCCACACAAACTTGCAGAGCCGCATAACCATATGCATGAAGAAAATTATCCAATCACATTTCTGTCATAAAGACAAACATAACTGCGATTGGATGATTTTCTTTATGCATATGTTTATGCGGCTATGCAAGTTTGTGTGGAATAGCCCTGAAGCGTGCCGTGTAAACGTAGTATATGTCGTTTTTCATGCTGACGCTCGACGCTCATTTTCGGCGTCAAAATAAGTCACGTGATAGAAATTGACGAATATCAAGCGTCAATTTTGATCACGTAGTCAATTTTGACGCTGAAATTGAGTGTTGAGTGTCAACATGAAAAGGTACCTTTATTCTAGTTGAGACGATTTGATTGGCTGACACAAGTTACGCTGCATGTGAAAGCAGCCGTACGGCCAATATAAGCACTCCCTAATGCTATGGTTATGCAGTTTATGTCATTACGTGGGTAGCCATTAAATTTAAATGATTTTAATTGATAATTCAGGGAGCTTTCCAGCAAGAGACAAATTGATACAAGAGTCATTCTGTCCTTGTTCAATAATCAGTAAGAAACAAAGACGGAATGATTCTTGTGTCGATTTGTGCCTCTGCTGGAAAGCTCCCTAAGTAGCCCTTGTGCTACTCAACAGAAAAGCGGGGACCACCAAAGACATATAGCATTTTCGGCCCGGCCAGGTTTGCATCAACCTGGGTTGGATTAATGGCGTTTTGTGCTCTCCTATTGGTACAACGGGTGACGTCAACCAATAGGAAAGATTAATCCAACCAAGGTTAGTGCAAACCCGATCGGGCCGAAAACGCTAATAGAGAATGGACTGCGCGATCCGT